CCAAAAGCTTCTCATTTGTTGACAACAGATATATAAAACGTTTTGAAGTTTAATTTTCAAAAGCAGGTCACAGGGTCAGAATGTGACAAGTTTGCATCCCAGTTCTCTTACGAGAGGTTCTCTCGTATTGCGTAAGCTAGCTTACGCTACGGGGGAAAGATTCATCTTTGCTGAGAAGTTGAAGCCAAAAAATTATTCCATAATTTTGTAATCATTGTCAACGCAGTCTCCTCTGAGGCAGACCATGAGCGGGCTAGCTAGCGGCTCATTGGTTCGCTCAGAGAGAATGCACGAACCTATGGGAGAGCGGCGCTGAGTCCGCGGCCAATGAGCGGACGGCGCTCGCTCACTGCGTCACAGCCCGCCAAAAGGGGCGTGGCTACAGTGTATAAAGGTCGCTCTCCCAGCTCGTTCGTTGATTCTTGTTCATTCAGCGAGCTACACGCATCCGCTGTCCTGGGAAGAAGCCGCCGTCGTTGAGAAGGCACCGTCTAGCGAGCTCCGGAGTCTGAGGAAGCCGGCCGTCTGCCACCTTCAGCCGCCCAGCAAGCTAGCGCCATCCGACGCGTATCCTTTTTACTATTCCATATTCCTAAAAGAGCCGAGCGTCTTTTTCAAGATGCCTCGAATTTCCTGCGGCTCATGCCGCTCTTCACTCGAGGAAGGAGACCGCTTCTGCGTTCTCTGTTTCGGAGTGGAACACGCAGAGCTCGCCAACGGAGGATGCGACCACTGCGAGGACCTGCCTCCGTCTTCCCTGCGGGCTCGACTACAGGCAGTCAGAACCGCTCCCGCGCCGCCTCTCACTTCGCCGCGGAAGAAGAAACGCCGCTCCCAGAGGCCGCCGGAGCCCCCTGCGGATCCATGTGGGCCGCCGCCGCCGCCCACCGACCGCTCTCCCTCTCCGCCCCTGCCGGACTTACAGTTGCCGCCGTATGGCCGCTCTGTCGCCTCCGACGACACCGCGGATGAGAAGGACTCTTGTTCGCTGCACCCTTCTGACAGCGAGGATTGGTCGTCGATCGGCTCATCGACGAGAGAGTCTGCGGGGACCCGCGCCGGCATCGAGGAGGATCTATCGCGCCTCCCTTCGCAGGCCTTCAACCGCCTGGGTCTCGAGTGGTCTCCTCCCCCCGAGCAACCACCGAACCGGCGCTCGACCCCCGCCTGCAGCCGGGCTGCACCATTCCTGCCTGAGCTTCACTACGAGCTCACTAAATCCTGGAATGCCCCTCTTTCGGCTCGTATCCGCTCCGAGGGGTCCGCTTCGCTCAGTGGACGGAGCCGCCGAGATGGGTTATACTGCCATGCTGCCCGCGCCTTTGCCGCCGCCGAACAGGCCGCCTCAGCGCTGCATTCCATCCAGGCGCTCCAGAGCGACATCTTGTGCGAGATGGCGAACAGCGGTAGGAACCCGCCCATCCTTTCGGATCTGAGAAGCGCGACGGATCTTTCCCTTCGCGCCACTAAAGCCGCCGCACAAGCCCTGGGAAAATGCATGGCCGCCCTCGTTGTCACTGAGAGACACTTGTGGCTCACGCTCACCGATATGGGAGATTCAGAACGCGCCCTGTTCCTCAACGCGCCTATTTCTCCCACCGGGCTCTTCGGATCTGCCGTCACGGGCATCGTTGACCGCTTCTCCGAGGTTCAGAAAGCGACTCAGTCCATGAATCTGTTCTTGCCCCGCCGCTCTAGTTCTTCGACAGGCCGCTCTCACGAGCCTCCTGCCAGAACCCCACAGCAGCGCCCGCCTCAGCAAGCTCAGCAGCCCCAGCGTAGACAGGGCGGCCGCCCTCGCTCTCGCTCAGATAGCCGCCGCAGACAGCCTCCTCCCAGGGGGCCTCGACCCAAGATCGCGCTGAAGCCCGATCAACAGAAGTCTGCCTAGCACAGCTGAGAAAAGGACGGCTTCTCCCGCTGCGGCCGGATCGCCGTAAAAGCCTCGCCCACTGTTAGTCCCCGTCTCACCGCTGACTGCAGTAGTGTTTACCGCCACAAACAAGCCGGTTTCCCTGCCCGCTTGCGAGCGTCTAAAAGCCGTTTTCACGGCTATCCAGAGAGTTCACAAAAGAGCATAAAAGCCTCAAGTGTAATAAATGTGCCCACAAGCATGTGCTCACATACACACTCAAGCACCTTATGCCCAGGGTCTCTCACAGAGCCCATTCTCACGGAGCGTGCACTTTCCGCTCCAGCAGCAGAGAACATAAGCACGCCCACGAGCCCGTGCGCGTGTCCCCCCCTCTGCCGCTCTGTCACACGGCCCATAAAACTCCTCTCTGAGTGTAAGTCCCGTTGCCACCCACATTATGAGCGTGCCCACACACAGTGTCCAGCCCGCGATGTGCAGCTATCAGGGCAAAATCGCCATTCAACCGCTTACGAAGCGTGGGAAGCCATCCCTGGCATCTCCCCGTGGGTTTAAGCATAATAAAAGAATGGTTATCGATTACAGTTTCGTCGCCGCCCGCCACGCTCGCGCGTGCGGCTCGAATCCACTGTCAGCCGCCCGCTATGAACACGCTTCGCTTAGAAATAGCCAAGCTACTGCAGAAGGGCGCTATAGAGAGAGTCCCACCATCTATGACCGAGTCGGGGTTTTACGGCCGTTATTTTCTGGTTCCCAAGAAAGACGGCGGCCTCAGGCCGATCTTAGATCTCAGGGCTTTGAACAAAGCGCTCATGAAGAGACCGTTCAAAATGCTCACAGTCAGGAAACTCCTCGCGCACGTCCGCCAGGGGGACTGGTTCATCTCTCTAGACCTGAAAGACACCTATTTTCAGATCCAGATAAACCCTCATCACAGGCCATTCCTACGTTTCGCCTTCGAGGGCCAAGTTTACCAGTATGCCGTTCTCCCGTTCGGCTATCCTTAGCACCCCGTACGTTCACGAAGTGCATGGATACAGCGCTCGCCCCCCTGCGAAGTCAGGGGCTGCGCATACTGAATTATCTGGACGACTGGCTGATGCTAGCAGATTCCCAGACGGAGCTGCTGTCGCACCGCACAGTTCTCCTCAACCATCTGGAAGCGCTGGGACTCTCTGTCAACTGGACAAAGAGCTCTCTCCAGCCCAGTCAAACTATTTCGTTCCTTGGAATAGATTTGAACTCTATCACTATGACGGCTCGCTTATCCACACAGCGCGCGCGCCGTGTTCAGCGCCTAGCCGCCTCGTTCAGATGGGTACCCATACATCCCTGAAATCGCTTCAGAGGATGCTGGGTCATATGGCTTCAGCCTCCGCTGTGCTACAGCTGGGTCTTCTGCACATGCGCCCCCTTCAACTCTGGTTATAGAGCCGCGTATCCCACCACGAGTGGACGACGGGCCGCCAGATGATCAGGATTACTCAGACACGTATCACTGCACTGCAGCCATGGGCAGTAAGCGAGTGGTTTCAGAGGGGCGTTACCATGGGAACCTTCTCTCGCCGGAAAGTTATCTCGACAGACGCATCCAACTCGGGTTGGGGAGCGGTTTGCGAGGGCTCACCGGCCGCCGGCCAGTGGTCGAGCCACGAGAGTTCCCTACACATAAACTGTCTGTATATGATCGCGGTCGAGAACGCGCTGCTATGCTTCCTCCCGCGCATAAACGGTCACCACGTCCTGATTCGCTCCGACAA